GATCCAATCACAAAAATAAGTTAAAAGTGAATGAATGAAAAAGATGTTTTTTCCCGCTGCTAGGTTTGATTTACTGGTATTTTTGTACCTAATATTCTAAGGATTACTGAGCTATAGTTTCCTTTTCATATGATGTCTTTGTCTGGCTTTGGTATCAGAGTAATATTGGCCTAACAGGATAGTTGAGAAGTGTTCCTCTTCAATATTTTGGAAGAGTTTGAGAAAGTCGTGTTAATTCTTCTTTAAATGTTTGGTAGAATTCACCAGTGGAGCCATCAAGTCCTGGACTCTTCTTTGTTAGGAGATCTTTTATTACAAATTCAATCTCCATACTTGCTATATATTTATTTAGATATTCTATTTCGTCTTAAGGAAGTTTTGGTAATTTCTATGTTTTTAGTAATTTTTCTATTAAACCTAGGTTATCTAATTTGTTGGCATATACTTAACTGTTAGTATTTTCTTATAATCCTTTTTTTTAATTTTATTATGTTATGTTAATCACCATACATCAGTTTTTTTTTTAAAGATTTTATTTATTTATTTGACAGAGAGAGACACAGCGAGAGAGGGAACACAAGCAGGGGGAGTGGGAGAGGGAGAAGCAGGCTTCCCGCTGAGCAGGGAGCCCGATGTGGGACTCAATCCCAGGACTCTGGGATCATGACCTGAGCTGAAGGCAGACGCTTTTAACGACTGAGCCACCCAGGCACCCTACAGCATTAGTTTTTGATTGGGATCATTCCCTGCATATTTTCAGACCACAGTGCTTTGAAACTAGAACTCAATCACAAGAGTAAAGTCGGAAAGAACTCAAATACATGGAGGCTAAAGAGCATCCTACTAAAGAATGAATGGGTCAACCAGGAAATTAAAGAAGAATTAAAAAAATTCATGGAAACAAATGAAAATGAAAACACAACTGTTCAAAATCTTTGGGATGCAGCAAAGGCAGTCCTAAGAGGAAAGTATATAGCAATACAAGCCTTTCTCAAGAAACAAGAAAGGTCTCAAATACACAACCTAACCCTACACCTAAAGGAGCTGGAGAACGAACAGCAAATAAAGCCTAAACCCAGCAGGAGAAAAGTTGAAAATAGAGCTACCATACGACCCAGCAATTGCACTACTGGGTATTCTTATAATCCTTTTTATTTCTGTAAGCTCAATGTCCCCACACAAAATCAGTTGTATTTCCTACACTATCAATAAACAGTCCAAAAAGGAAATTAAGAAAACAGTTCCATTAGCATGACAAAGAATAATTAGGAGTAAATTTAACTGAGGAGGTACAAGACTTATACACTGAAATCCAAGACACTAATAAAGATTGAAATAAATTGAAATACACTCCATGTTCATGGACTGAAAAATTTAATATTGTTAACATCCCCCAAAGTGATCTACAAGTTCACTATTATTAGCCCTATCAAAATTCCTTTTGAAAGAAAAGGAGCCTTTTTTGCAGAAATGGGAAAGCTGATCCTAAAAATCACATGGAATTGCAAGAAACCCCAAATAGCCAAAACAATCTTGAAAAAGAACAAAGTTGAAGACTCACACTTCCCAATTTCAAAACTTACTATATAAAGCTACAGTAATCAAAACAGTGTGGTACTGGTATAGGACAGACATACAGATCAAGGAAACAAAACTGAAAGTCAAGGAATAAAAACATACTCCTGTGCTCAAATGATTTTCAACAAAGGTGCCAAGATCATCCAATGGAGAAAAAATAGTCTTTTTAACAAATGGTGATGAGACAACTGGATATCCAAGGCAAAAAAAAAACAAAACTGAATTTGGGCTTATACTTAACACTATATATAAAAACTAATTCAAAATGGAAAAAAAGACCTAAATGTAAGAGCTAAAACTATAAAACTTATAGGGGTAAATCTCCATGACTTGAGATTTGGCAATGATGTCTTAAACACGACATCAAAACCATGAGCAACAAAAAAGAAACTAGACTTCATCAATTTTTTTTAATGTGTACAGATACGTACACTATCAAGAGAATGAAAAGAAACTCTAGGAGAAAATATGTGTAAATTATATATCTGATAAGAGTCTAATATCATATATCTGATAAAGGTCTAATATATATATCTCAAATACCTTATATACACACACGTACGTGTGTGTGTGTGTGTGTGTGTGTGTATGGAGGGGAAGAAAGGAAGTGAGCATGCAGGCGGGGGGAGGGAGTGGCAGAGAGAAAATAAATGAAAGTATAGTATCCAAAACTCATAACTCAACCACAAAAATAAAATAACCCAATTAAAATATGGTCAAGGGACTTGGATAGACCTTTCTCCAAAGAAAAAATACAAATGGCCAATAAGCACATGAAAAGACACTCAAAATCATTAGTCATTAGAGAAATATAAATCTAAATCACAACGGGATACCACTTCACACCCACTGGAATGACTATAATAATAAAAGATCCTAGGGGCGCCTGGGTGGCTCCGTCAGTTAAGCGTCTGCCTTCGGCTCAGGTCAAGCCGAAGGGATCCCAGGGTCTTGGGATTGAGCCCCACATCAGGCTCCCTGCTTGGCAGAAAGTCTGCTTCTCTTTCTCCCTCCACCCCTCCCCATGCTTGTGCTCTCATGCTTGTGCTCTCTCTCTTGCTTCTCTCTCAAATACATAAATAAAATCTTTTTTAAAAATTTAAAAAATAAAAAAATTTTAAAAAGACCCTAACAAAGACATCAAGAAATTGGAACCCTTACATATTGCTACTGGGAACGTAAAATGGTATAGCCACTGTGGAAAACAGTTTGGCAGTTCCTCAAAAAATTAAACATAGAATTACCACATGACCTGGCAAGTCCAATCCCAGGTGTATATACAAGAGAAATGAAAACAGGTGTTCAAACACAACAAATATTCATAGCAACATTATTCATAATAGCCAAAAAGTTTACAACCTAAATGTCCATCAACTGAAAGTTAAACAAAATGTGACATATCAATACAAGAAAATATCATTTAGCCATAAAAAGGAATGAAGAATGAAGTACTGATACATGCTACACATGGATGAACCTTGAAAATCTTACGGTAAGTGAAAGAAGCCAGACACAAAAGGTCACACATAATATAATTCCATTAGAGGAGATGTTCAGAATAAGTATATCCATTAAGACAAGAAGTAAATTAGGGTTTGTCAGTGGCTGGGCAAAGGGGAGAATGGAAAATGACTATTTAAGGGGTATGAGGTTCCTTTTGGGATTATAAAAATGTTCTGAAACTAGATAGTGGTGGTGTTTGTACAATATTGTACTAAAAGCCACCAAATTATACATTTTAAAATGCTTTAAATGGTCAATTGTACTTCAATTTAAAAAGGAGAAAGAAGAGATGCCTGGGTGGCTCAGTTGGTTAAGCCGCTGACTTTTTTTTTTTTTTTAATAAAGATTTATTTATTTATTTGAGAGAGAGAGAATGAGAGATAGAGAGCACATGAGAGGGAAGAGGGTCAGAGGGAGAAGCAGACTCCCCGCCGAGCAGGGAGCCCGATGTGGGACTCGATCCCGGGACTCCAGGATCATGACCTGAGCCGAAGGCAGTCGCCTAACCAACTGAGCCACCCAGGCGCCCCTGACTCTTGATTTCAACTCAGGTCATGGTCTCATTGTAGTGAGACTGAGCCCCACATTGGGCTCTGCACTCAACACAGAGTCTGCTTGAGATTCTTTCTCCCTCCCCCTCTGCTCCTCCACCAGGTCACACGTGCTCTCTCTCATAAATGAAATGAAATGAAATAAAAATTAAAAGAAGAAAGAAACCAAAGAATTACAATGGGGTATCCTAAGATAATAGTCAAAGTACATTCCAGGACAACAGTACTGAAGAGTAAACAGCCCATACTGGAACAGGATAATGGAGGATTCTGAAAGAGAAGTCTCCTCAGGTGGAAAAAAAAACCAACTGATATATTTGTGCATAAGAAAAATATTATAGGTAAGTGTGACAGAGTTTTTGGAGCATTTAAGGGGAAAAGTTAACAGCAGTTGCACAGAAAAACAATGCAAACATTAGCTCCAAGAAAAATGATGGATTGTATGGAAATAGATATGCACCTCTTGGCTAAGCACCTGTATTTATATAAAGAGTGGTAATTCAGTTAAAACTGAAACTTGTGAAATAACTATATGGTAGTGAGGGAAGATAGACGGGTAAAGAAGTGAGGGAACTGATGTGGAAGATGTTCTCATTTTCCAAAATAGGCTGCCAATATCAAAAAATAAAAAAATTGGAAACAATTTAAACATTTTATTTAGAAATACAGAGTTAAATACTAGAAGAAAAAGCTAATAGAGTATTTTCATATCTTTTAAATTATACAGACTGACAAAAATTTGGAAACTAAATTAATAAATAATTTTTATTTTATTAAAAAGTAGCTAGTGGGAAAGACTACTTGTTATCCCCAAGAGCAGTTCTTCCCTTCTGCTTCAGTAACAGAATTAGCAGTCTAGACAGCTAAAGATTACAATTTCCAGTCTGCTTTGTATAGTATGACTAAGTTCTGCCCAATGAGATATTCAGTGAAACTGAAAGATGCTACTTATGGGTCATACTTTTAAGGAGAACTACCTCTCCTCCCCTTACCTCCTTCCTGATGGCTAGACGGAATATGGCGGCTGGAGGAAAGGCATTCATCTTGGGCAGTGAGACAGAGCCATACATTAAAGTTGGCAAAGCAATGAGATTGAGTCCAATAACACTTCACCAGAGCAGAATGAATACACCAGCTCAATTATGAGCTATTATAGAAAATACAGAAATAAGCTTCTACCTTGTTTAAGCCTTGTTATTATGGTCTTTCCTGTAAAGCAGTCAAACCTATAGCATTTCTAATATAGACTGAAATCAACCGAAAGAATATAATAAAATTTCTTATGTAGATAGGTTTGCACCTAGGCAACTATTAACAGGAATGCTAAGACTTCCTTATGAAATTTAGGAATTATGGTAAAAAATTTACCTTTTTTAACTGGAGACTGATGTTGCTGTTGTTCATTATGACCTTGAGAAAAGGCTTGCATTCCATTTGTCTTACACTATTAAAAAAAAAAAAGAAAATATACTTTTTAACTATGGCTTAAAAATTTTATATAACCCTGTTTTACCATCCAAAACTATTTTCCCAAACAAAGTATTAGTCAAGACATATTTCTGGCCTAAATGATAAGCAATCTTGTAAGAATGCTTATTAAAAATAAGCAAAAAAAAACCTTTCAAAATACATTCACATATATCTTTAACTATTTTGTCATGATTTTTTAACTAACTCCTCTTCTGATTCCATGCTCACCAAGAGGTACCCTGATTACAATTTAGCTTCCCATATATCTCCCTACTGCATATAATAGACTAGTAGAACCAAAAGAAAATATGCAGCACAGGACAGTAAGATTTCTCATGATAAAAAAAAATGGGTTTTCTGATTTTATAATCAGTTTCACAAATTTGGTCAATACAATCAATCCTTAAGATAATCTCTTACATTGACCCATTTCATTTTGTTGGTTGCTTTTGCTGTACAGAAGCTTTTTAGTTTGATGTAGTCCCACTTATTTTTGCTTTTGTTGCTTATGCTTTTGATGTCATATTCAAAAAAATCATTGCCAAAACCAGTGTCAAGGAGCTATTATAGTTTGCAAACAGTAGGCCATACTCTGAACCATGGTAATTCATTAAGGCAGGTTTCTCTGAAGACATCTATCCTGAAAAATGAACATCTCCACTCTATCAATCACTGTAGTAGCAAGTTGTAGCCCATTCCTTAAACACCTGCAAATTCTACCAAGGTAACTCTGTAAGAAGTCAGAAAGATTAGTTATCTAGCCCTATGACACAATGAAGAGTAATGAGATAACCCTACAATACTGAGTCATCAAAATAAGTTATCAGAAAAAAATCAAATTTTAGCAAAATATTTAGTTTTAAGTAGAGGTAGAAAAATATAAAAATGTCAAAGATTTTCATTCTCCAAAGTTTCTCTTCCTGTTAGATTTAATAAACAACATGAACTACCATATGGTCCTTTTTAAAAATTAATTTTTTAAATTTGACAATTTCAGCAGAGGCACACTTCACTAACACTAAAATGCAAGACCTAAAATCAAATTCAAAAGTAAACTGTAATCTGAAAAAAAAATTAAGAAACAATTTCTTTTTAAAATAGTATTTAAACGAAGAAAATACTTAGGAATAAATTTAACGAAGGTGGTGTAATATTTGTACATGGAAAACTCTAAGACACTAAAGAAACTAAAGATAACATAAATACATGGAAAGATATCCTATGTTCACAGATTGAAAGAATACTGTTAAAATGTCCTTACTATCTAAAGTGATTTACAGATTCAATGCAATCCCTTTCAAAATTCCAGTAGCATTTTCTATAGGTAAAGCAGTCCTAAAATTTATATTAAAAAACAAAAGTAGCCAAAGTAATCTTGAGTAAGAACAAAGCTGGAGGCATCACACTTCCTGATTTAAAACTATGTTACAAAGCTATAATAATCAAGACACTGTAATACTGTCATAAAAAGACATATAATGGGACACCTGGCCTGATCTCAGGGTTGTGAGTTTGAGCCCCATGTTGGGTGTAGAGATTAGTTAAAAATAAAATCTTTAAAAAAAAAAAAAAGACACATAAATCTGTGGAATAAAATAGACAACCCAGAAATAAACACACCCCTATACTCAACTAATCTTTGATGAGGGAACCAAGAATACACAATGGAGAAGGGACAGTCTCTTCAACATACAGTGTTGAGGGGCACTGGGTGGCTCAGTCAGTTAAGCGGCTGCCTTTCAGCTCAGGTCATGATCTCAGGGTCCTGAGATCCAGGCCCACATCAGGCTCCCTGCTCGGTGAGGAGTCTGCTTCTCCTTCTCCCTCTGCTGCACCCCCTGGTTGTGCTCTCTCGCTTGCATTCTCTCTCTCAAATAAACAAAATCTTTAAAAAAAAAAAATAGTGTTGAGGAAATTGTATATCCATGTGCAAAAGAAATTTTATCCTTATGTTATACTATACACAAAAATGAATTGAAAATGGATCAAAACCTAATATAAGACCATAAAAACCATAGAAGAAAGCATATGGAAAAAGCTCCTTGACATTCGTCTTGGCAACGATTTTTTGAATGACATTAAAAGCATAAGCAACAAAAGCAAAAATAAGTGGGACTACATCAAACCAAAAAGTTTCTGTACAGCAAAAGCAACCAACAAAATGAAACAGCAACCTACTAAATAGGAAAAAATATTTGCCAACCATATTTCCATTAGCGGGTGAATATCCGAAATATATAAAGATCTCATATAAAACAACAGCAAAATAATAATAATAATCTGATTTAAAAATAGGCAGAGGACCTGAATAAACATTTTTCCAGAGAAAACATACAAATGGCCAAGAGGTACATGAAAAGATGCTGGACATTGCTAAATCGTCAAGGTAATGCAAATCAAAACTACAAGGAGATACCACCTCACATCTGTTAGGAAGGCTATTATCAAAAAAAAGGTGAGTGTTGGCAAGAATGGGAGAGGAAAGGAATTCTTGTACAATGTTGGTGGGAATGTAAATTGGTTCAGCCATTTTGGAAAACAGTATGGAAATTCCTCAAAAAATTAAAAGTAGAACTACTGAAAGATCCAGCAATCCGACTTCTGGGTATACATCCAAAGGAAACAAAAGCACAATCTTGAAGACTGTGCAATCCCATGTTCATCCACTGCAGCATTTTTCACAATAGCCAAAATAAGGACATAACCTACATATCCATCGACAGATGAATGGGATAAGGAAAATGTGGTAGATTAGATAGATGAAAACTATTTAAATAGACTATTATTCAACCATAAAAAGAGAAGAAAATCCTGCCATATGTTACAAAAAGGATGAACCTGGAAGACATTATACTAAGTGAAATAAGCCAGACACAAAGACAAATATTGTATGATCTCACATGTCAAATGTTAAAAATTCAAACTCATAAAATTAGAAAATAGAATGGTGATTGCCAGGGGCTGAGAATAGGGGGAATGGGGAGAAGCTGGTCAAAAAATACAAATTTTCAATTATGAGATAATTAGGTTCTAGAGATCTAACATACAGCATGGTGGTTATAATTAATAATATTGTATTATATACTTGAAATTTGCTACGAGGGTAAATCTTAAGTGTTCCCCCCTACATACACACATACAAGTTTGGTAACTGTGAGGTGCTGAATGTGTTAATTAACTTGATTGTTAGGATCACATCACAATGTATACATGCATTAAATCATCAGGTTGTATACTTTTACAAAAAATCATGTTGTATAACCTAAATATATTCAATTTTTGTCAATCACACCTTAAGAAATCTGGGAAAAAATGTACTTTGTCATTTCTGCATATATTAGCAACTAAAAATACTGATTATTTTGAAATTTCATAGCATGTAAGAGTACATCTACTAAAATTTCATAATTTTTTCAATTATATTCTTACAATAAAATCATACATCTTACAAATTTTACAGTCTTACATAATGAAATCAATAAAATTTGAGAATTCTATAATAAAGATATGCAGAAAGTGTGATGGAAGGAATGAGTAGGAGTCCCAAACTTGGCTTAAAAATGTCAGGAAAGGGGCACCTGAGTGGCTCAGTCGTTAAGCGTCTGCCTTCGGCTCAGGTCAGGATCCCAGGGCCCTACGATGGAGCCCCACATTGGGCTCCCTGTTCAGCAGGAAGCCTGCTTCTCCCTCTCCCACTCCCCCTGCTTGTTCCCTCTCTCACTGTCTCTCTGTCAAATAAATAAATAAAATCTTTTTAAAAAAAAATGTCAGGAAGGGCTTTACATGATGCTTAAACAATACTTCGAGGATTAGTAGTAGACTGGCTTGACTAGTGAAAAATGAATGTTTATGGAAGAAAAGAACAGCTTTCTTTTGGAAGTATGGGGTAATATGGCTAGTTTAGGAATGGAAAAATTGAATAGGCTTGAGTAAAGCAAAACAAACACCAGGTCTTTTTTTTTTTTTTTTTTCAAGTCAAGGCTCTTTGCAATTTATGGTACAATACCCAATATTCTATTTAGCTTTTTCATATTTATAGCAAAAATGTTCCCATCTCCTGTCACTCATCTTAAACAAATGTACATCACTGAGATAACAAAGGAGAATGAGAAAAGGTAAATGCATATCAAACTCCACTCCTAGAACAAAGGTTAAACAGGAAAAAAACTAACTCATTGAGAGTAATTTCTGTAGTATAAAAGAGCTCCTACAAAACAATGAAAAAAAAAAAGCCTATAATAAAGAATGGGCAAAGACCAGGAAATGGTATACAGATGAAGGAAAATTCAAATTACTGGGGGGTTTTTTTAAGATTTTTTTTAAGATTTTATTTATTTATTTTAGAGAGACAGCAAATATGAGCCAGGGTTGGGGGGGAGCACAGGGAGAGGGACAGAGGGAAAGAATCTCAAGCCAACTCTGCTGAGTGCAGAGTCCAACAGGGAGCTCAATCTCAGGATACTGAGATCACAATCTGAGCCAAAATCAAGAGTCAGATGCTTAACCAACTGAGCCACCCAGGCGCCCCTCAAATTACTCTTAAATAAATAAAAGATGGCTACAAAATCTTGACATTCCTCCCATCAACAGGTAAATTTTTTATCTCTTCCCCTTGAATCTGAGCAAGTTCTTCTCACTGCTCAGACAGATCTAATACGGCAGACATGACACTTTTGCTTATTTCCAGGCCTTAAGAGTCTGGCAGCTTCCACCTCTTATCTTTTAGAACATTAGTCATGGAACCCAGATGTGAAAAGCCCAAGCCACTTGGAAAGGCCATTTGTAGGTGTTCCTTCCATTCCACTGAAGCAGCTGAATCATAAGCCAATAGCCAGCATCAACTGTCAGCTATGTAAGCCATGTGGCTATCCAGTCAAGACTTTAAATGACTCCAATCCTAGATGCTACCTGACTGCAGCCACATTACTGAACTTAGAAAAAGGCCACCTGAGCTCAGTCAACCCACAGAGCCATGAAAAAGAGTAAGAAGCTACTGTTTTAAGTCAAAGTTTTCAAGTATTTTTTATGAGGTAATAATAAAAAACAGAGGTTAAAAGAAGTTATTCAGCAGAGGGAAGATAATATCAAACAGAAACATGGATTTATACAAAGAAATTAAGAGCACTGGAAATGGAGTAAATAAAGGTGAAATAAAACACATTCTTTTATTTCTTATTTTAAAAGATAACATGTGAAAGCAAAAATAACAGCAATGCATTATGTATTTATAGTACAAGCTACAGTAAAATTATTCCCATAATAGAACATGAATGGGAGGGAAGAGTCTACAAACAAAACAGATCTAATAAGTGAATTTAACAAGATCAATATACAAAAACCAATACTATTTATGTATCCTACCAGCCAGCATGTGGAATTTGAAATTTACAAAAAATACCATTTATAATAGTATCAAAAAATATGAAATGCTTATAAATTTGACAAAAGATGTTCAGGACCCCTATGCTAGAAAATACAAAAAAATGGAAAGATATGCTGTGTTCACGAATCAGAAGACTCAATATTGTTAAGATGTTAATTCTTCTCAAATTAATCTTTAGACTCAATCAAAATTCCAGTAGACTTTTTTGTAGAAATTGACAAGCTCATTTAAAACTTATATGGAAATGCAAAAGACCTAGACAACTGAGACAAATTTGAAAAAGACTAAAGTTAGTGAACTTTCACTATCTTATATCAAGAGTTATCATAAAGCTACAGCAGTCTGTAAAATGTGATGTTGACAAAAAGATGGACATACAGGAGTACTTATGTAGTGTGGTGAATATAGTTAACAATACTGTATTGTATACCTGAAAGTTGCTAAGAAAATAAATCTTTAATGTTCTCCCTGTAACAACAACAAATGGTTAATTATGTGAAATGAAGAATATTTTAACTAAATTCATTGTGGTAAACATTTTGCAACATATAAGTGTATCAAATCATCACACATCGTATCTTAAACTTAGTTACATGTCAATTTTATCTCAATAAAGATGGGGGGAAAAGACATATAAATCAATAAAGCATAATAGAGTTTAGAAATAAACTCACACATGTATACTGATTTTCAATACTCTCACAATTCAATGAACCAAACAACCCAAAATCAAACAACCCAAACAAGGCAATCAACCCAAATATCAAATATATGCAAAATATTTGAACAGACACTTCACAAAAAAAAAAAGAAAAATACAAATGGAACATAAGCTCATAAGATGCTCAATCTCATTAATCAGTAAGAAACTGCAAATTTAAAATACAATTAGATACTAACACATACTAAAATGGCTAAAAATTGGTAGGCTATGAAGCTATTGGAACTGGCAAATACTACTGGTAGGAATATAAGATAGCACAACCACTTTGAAAAACATTTTGGCAGTTTCTTATAAGTTAAACAAACTCCTCATAAAACCCATCAATTCCATTCCTGTGTATTGGGTGTATGTCCACACACAAACCTGAACACAATCATCCAGAGCAGCATTATTCATTACATCCAATATGTGTATTTCATTTACATGACATTCTAGAATAGTCAAAACTAATTTACAGTTAAAGAAAGCAGATCAGTGGATGCCTGGAGCAGGAGGGAGCATTAGGGGTTAGTGGAAGCACAAATGATGAATGACTGACTGCAAAGAGATATAAGGGCACTTTGGGGGAAGATAAAAATGTTCTATATCTTCATTGTGGGGTTGGTTACGTAGGGTATATATTTGTCAAAACTCATTGAACAAATGGGTTCGTTTCACTGTAAATTATACCTTAATAAAGTTGGCTTAAAAATATATATAGTTAGTAAAAAGTATCCAGCAAGTACGTGACACCTCTGACATAGGTTCTGGTAGCTTCTGCATTATAACTGAAGCAGCAGACAAAATTTTAAGTTTAGGAGTAAATTTAATTATATGATTTGGTTTTCCTCTATAAAATCTGCAATGTTAATATACTTTTTTACATATAAAGTTTTTTGAAGAAGGTCAATGGTTCCAAAGAGAGTTATAAACATTACCATTGTATTAAGGGGGCATGCTAGCTGACAGAATAAAACAAAACATTACAATGACTTATTAAAAATATAAAGCAAGAGTAATTAAGCTATCATGGTACTGACACACAGATATGCAATTAGATCAATGGAACAGAATAGAGCCCAAAGACCTTATGTATATGAAAACTTATTATACAATAAAGATGTCATAAATCTTTATGGAAATAATAGGTTATTCAATGAATTATACTTGAGAATTGATCTACATTAAAAAAATTAGATTTCTATCTCATATCTTAGAAAAAAATCAATTTCAGGTAGACTATACCTGAACATGTATGTAGGAAAATATCCTTTGATGTTAACAATGGGAAAACTTCACAATGACATAAAAAGTGAAATCATAAAGAAAAACACTGATAATGACTACATTAAGATTTAAAACTTCTGAACAAAAACACCACAAAAAAGAAACAATTCTCTCATAAACCATATTCCCAGGAAAGAAAATATTTTCTCTGCATAAAAGAAAAATAATTAAAATCCAAAATACAGTTTAAAGGCATATAAACCAAAAAGAAAAAGACAACCCAAGAAAAACGGGCAAATGATATGAATTGGCAATTCAGACAAAGAGAAAATCCAAATGGCCAACTTAAACATGAAAAGATGCCCCACTTCACAAATAATAGAAAATTAAAAATTAAAACCAACAAAAAGATGTTTCTCAGGGGTGCCTGGGTGTCTCAGTCAATTAAGTGTTTGCCTTCAGCTCAGGTCATGATCTCAGGGTCCTGGGATCGAGCCCCATGTGGAGCTCCCTGCTCAGCAGGGAAACTGCTTCTCCCTCTGCCCCTCCCCCCCACTCATGTTTGCTCGCTCTCTCAAATAAATAAATAAAAATCTTAAAAAAAAAAAAAAAAAGACATGAGTTCTTATCCATTAAACAAGACAAAATCTTGAAGTCTGACAATAACAAGGCAAGGATGTAGAAAAATCAGACCTCTCCTTCATTGCTCATACAAATCACTTTGGAGAGTAATTTAGCAGTAAATAATAACACTGAAGATTACCTGTTAACATAGTACTTCTACTTCAGTTTTATAATGCAGAGAACCTCTCAAACATGTATAAAATATAACATATGGGTGGATGTGCATAGCATTTATTATAAAACAGAAACAAGTGCCAAGCCCACCAATAGAAAATGGAACAAAAAATATGACCTATTAATAAAGATTTTTTGTATCAGCACATATAGAACAGCTTTATTCATTTTTAAAGTTGCCTAATATTCTATTTATTATGAATATATTTATGCTTGTGCATACATAATCTATTTCTGGAAGGATCTAGGTGAGAAACTGGTACAATGGTTAGTTTTGATCAGAGGAAGTTGGTGACTAGGGGACAGAGATTGCAGGGAAATTTTTCACTAACTGCCATTTTATATGTTTTCAATTTTCAATTTTGATGATTTTACTTAGTCAAAAAATTATGTTAGAAATTTTAAAATATAAACCTAAATGCAGAAAGAATGGCAAAAACACATGTGGGTATAATACTATTTATATAAAATTATAAAACAGTTGAAACAATTCTATTTGTTGTAGCAGAAGTACTAATACATTCATGGAAACAATAACAAATTGAAAATAATTGGAGGAGGGTGAGGAGGAGGGTGAGAAGAAAATGGGATGGTAGAGGGACACGGTCCACAGGCACAGCCAGGAAAACTGTTGCATGTATGGAACGAGCACTTACTACATGCCAGACACAGTGCTAAGACTTTGGAAGCATTAGCTCACTGCTGCCTCCTCCTCACACTTACCTGTGAGAAAGACAACTATTAGCTCCATTTTCAGGTGAGGAAACTGAGGCTTTGAGAAGTGAAAGAAATCACTCACGTAAGGTCACAGGGCTGGGAAATGGCAGGGCTGGGGCTCAAGCTCATCTTCCTATCAGAACCTTGGCATGTGGCTATGTGCCCCTCAGGCCAGCCACCACCTCTCGGGGCCCATCTCTGGGACAAGCCTTACTGCACACATTTAATGCAATACTTGGGGATGGCGGGAAATAGGATTCCACTGCACAATGAACACTATTCTCATATACCTACATACGGGTGAGAAGAGGAGGGTGAGGAGAAGATGGGTTAGTGGAGGGATAAGTAGGGGTTTTGAAATATATGTTAGGTTTCTTCTTTAACATTTTTAGGTGGGGGAGGGGCAGAGGGAAAGGAAGAGAGAGAATCTTATCTCACAACCCTGAGATCATAACCTGAGCTGAAATCAAGACTTGGATGCTTAACCAACTGAGCCACCCAGGTACCCCTCTTTAACATTTTCTAAAACAAATATAGCAAAATGTTTAGATTTGAAAATGCTGGGCAACAGGTATAATTTCCTTTAATATATTATTGAAATATAACTTTTTAAAAAGTATATAAAGTACCTAGCATGGTACCTGGCACAGAACCATCTAACAAATGTTACTTTCCAGTCTGCAATGCTTCATTTTATTATAATTTCTAGGACTTACTCTGCTAACTCCACTTTGTAAGCACTGAGTGTTGCATGAATATTCATTTTGAAAGTTGAAAGGGAATACTGCTCCTGTTAGAAGGGAAAAAAAGAAAAATACTTTAAATACTCATTACTTCAATAAATGATATACAACCACCCAAAAACCTTAAGTATGCAGGATATTCTAGGTACTGTTTTAAATTGTTTTCTGATAATTCATTTACTTAACAAATATTAAACACTATGAAATGTAAGCCACTGTGTTAGGGGACGGGTTGTAAGTGTGAAAAGAGTTCAGAGATAAAAGAGTTCATGGTCTATTTTAAAAGACAAGCTCATAAACAATTACTATAATAAAAACAAGTTATATGAGGGCTACAGAGAAGATACTAGGGGAGAGCAGACTGGGCTTTGTGATATAGAGGAAAGCTTCACAAAAGGAAATAATTCTGGGGGACCTGGGTGGCTCAGCTGGTTCAGTGTCCAGCTTTTGGTTTTGGCTCAGGTCACAATCTCATGGGTCGTGAGATCGAGCCCTGCATTGGGCTCCACGATCAGTGCAGAATCTACTTGAGATTCTCTCCCTCTGCCCCTCCACCCTGCTCAAGCCCAGCTCGAGCTTGGTCTTTCTCTAACTCTTGCTCTCAAATAAATAAATAAATAAATACGTCTTTAAAAAAAAAAAAAAGTAATTCTATCTGGGTCTTGAAGAAAAGTAGAATTCTCTGGGGATGTGAGCTAGCCAGGGAGTACAGAAGTATATTGAAAAAGGCCAAAATTAATTTCTGATTTACTAAGCTTTTCTACCTAATAAAACTACTTATCTCTGGATCTTAAGAGGATATAATTAAATGAGAGATGGACCCACTACCTTTAACCCCTATAACAGACTTGGAAGGAAAGGATCAATGAAAAACTGAATCTGTACAGATAAGGGAGTGAGGGGTGCTGTAAAAAGGCTGGTCACAGAAAGGAGCTGCTGCCAATGGCTTTATACCCTTCCCTTTAGGAGAAAATCTGAGACCTGACCCAAAACTACTGCTTCTTTAGCATACCAGAAGGAGATGGCATCAACACTGCTAAAGCTATGGTCCAAAAGATCACTAATTTCATTTGTCTGTCTTAAGTCACAGCCATCTTCAGAGGAAACATGACCAAAGTAGAGACAATCTTCCTTGTAAGAACCAAGGATGGGAGAACAAATAGAAGACTGAGGAACTGGTGCCATTTCTATCTTTTCTGCTTCATCACTGCACCCAATAAAAAGAGCTATTTTTTTTCCCTTTTCTAATCAGTTACTCAGTTGAACACATGGACTAAAGAGTATTTTTAATAGGATGGTGACATATTTATATATTAATATTTAGGAAATATATACATTAATATTTAGGAGATATATATACACATATACATATAAACCTAAGTTAAAATACAGAAGCCATTCTGGCAACAATGAAAAAAACAAAAGGTTAATAATCCAATTAAGGAAAAAGTATTCCAAAAATTTGTCCAAGATACTAGTTTTATAGGCAAAAAAAAAAATCTTTAATTTTGGAAATTTTTGTTTAAATTTCCTGAAAAATGAGACTATATGTCCTAGCATAGCCCTAATCTGTAACTGTTGTTTTGTTTGTATTCATTCATTTATTCATTCATTTATATGCTGTTAGGAATTTTTTTAGAAGGCTAATTCTCTCTTCAGCATGATTGCTCTGCAGTGATCATAATCACAGGGCACAATTTGTATTGAGAGTATCATTCTAAGCAGAAGCCAGTTAACCATGAAAATGAGACATGAAAAAAAATACAAAAAGTTGTTCTCAGGCAAGACATTCTTCCTACCTTTGTTAGTCTGGTTCACTATGGATTGACAGACTATTAAGAGTCTTTTTCTTCAATTTTTAAATTATTCAAACAAACAAGATTAGTTTTCATTATTCCTTACCCACCATAAACAATTACTTCATATATGATTTAGCCTTTCATATACTACTTAGCTATTAAACAATTAATATTTAAAGATATATACCCTAGATTACTCACCAGGGGGAGAAGTCAGATGACGAACAGGTCTTGCTGGTTGAAGCGGTTTACCAATCAATTTTTTGGTTTCCATTATCACAAAAACCTTGAGGTTCCATACTTTAGGAAGGAAAAATCTTATCTTTTCAATAAGATAATTAAGATGCTTTTATATACATATATACACACACACACACAAAATTCATTTGAAGATAATCTATTTCATAAGTTAAGGTGGAAACCTTAGACCCCTTTATACCATCCATCACAGTGGAACATTCCCTTTTTTGAAACATTTTCCTCCCATTAACTTCCCTGACTTTTCTTTTAGTTTGTTTCCTATTTCTTTGACTACCTCTTCTAACTTCCTTGGCTCATTCTTTTCTCCAATTAAATTTAGGAATTCTTCCAAATTTGGCTTTGATCCTCTTCCCTGACCTCAACTATTCTGATGATTTCAACTACCTATCTACATGATAAATATACCCTAATTTATACATTTAGCATCTACCTCTCTTTTAAATTCCAATTCTATTTTTTAAGATATTTCTATTTACATTTTATCAGACACCTCAAATTCAAGATATCCAAAATCAAATTCATTACTTTGACTCCAAAGATGTTCCTCCTCTGGTATTCCTTAAAGTCTTCAACTGCCTCAGATCACCTTTGGTTAAATAAGATCTAAATAAGAGCCTCCATACCATAATTAGTCTCTAATTCCTGTCCATTCTACTTCCAAAGTATTTCTCAAATTTATTTTCTTCTTTCCCACCACTACTTTTAGTTCCACAGTAGCATTGAGTTCATCTCCCTGATCACTCAGTCTGATTTAAATACTCCCTTCTCTCCCTATGTTCATGGGACACAGTGAATATGCCTACATCATGGCATTAGGGAACATTGTACTATACTATAATGACTGATTTGTCTTTTATACTTACAAAAGTGAGGAGAGCAAATTCTTTAAGTGAGGAACAATATTTTCATTCACACTCTTTCCCTGGCAACTAACACAGTACCTGGACTGGATCCAAAGTAGGTATAACAGAAGCATTTGCTGAACAAATGGGTGAATATAACCTCTTCCTCTCCAAACTATGATCCCTTTACACATACACCTGCTCTAAAAACTTCAATTTCTCCTGAATGAATAATCCTCCTGGATTATTCAGAATAGAAATAGGAGCCAACATCCAAGTGTCATGCAGAGTAAACCATTTACCTAAGTTACATTATTTAAAATTCAGAATAACTCTATCAATTAGGCACAATTAAGAGTTAGAGTTCGGGTCTCAGGTTGGCCTACATGGGTTCATATTATGGTTCCAGCACCTAGTTATGTAACTATGGAAAACAACAGCCTCTGTATCCTAGGTCTGATGTGAAGACTAAATAAAATATATGTATATGCCTGGTACATAGTAAGAGCTTAATAATGTTAGCTTTATTATTTTTTTTATAATCCTAATTTTACAGATAAGGCTTGGAGAAATCAGGTAACTTGCCCAAGGTCCTGAATCAAGGAAGTGATGGGATGCCCATGTCCATGCTTCTGGCCAGTAAGAATCAAGAATCTTGCCCAACCTTTTTCCTACCCCACACCCGGGCAGAACTGAACAGGTTCTGGTTAAGTACCCTTACGTGCTCACAAAACACCCCTGTGTCTATCCTCTTCCAGTATGGTACTTACTGCACTAGTTGCAATTACCTATCATCTGACCATTAAATTATAGTTCTCTCACACAGGTATATTTCCCGTGTCTAGCACAGTGCCTAGAACACTGTGGGTGTTTAACAGATTGTTGAATTCATAAATATCATTTTGTTTCACCATATATTTATACGTTCGGGAGTTCTTTCACTCTCCCTGCTGCTCTTCTCCCAAAACGCTATTCATCTTTCAAGACCAAGGTCAAGTTCCTGTTACTTCCTTGGAAAAAAAGATCCTCATGTCCAACAGTAATGGAAAATAAAGTAGTTCACCTGAAGCTTTCTAGTTCCTAACAGATAGTTGACAGTAAAATAATAACAATAATAACTTATTTTTCTTTCTTCTTCCATTAGCCCCTACTGTATTTTATTAATTATTCTAAGATGTATCACAGTAAATCCATTACATGCCTGTTTGATTAGACTTGGTTAATTGAGGCTAAAAAAACTAGATCTTACTTATCTTTGTGTCCTAGTACCTACAACATAGTTTTACTAAATAAATCTATAAATTTAAATACCTCTTAAATAAATACCTTCTGATGCCTGAATAGGACACAGATTTCCAAATTATAGTGCCTATTAAAACAAAGCCTAAAGTAAAATTCTATCTGACTTTGTACCTGCTCATCCAGAAGCAGTTGTAACCATATGATTTTAAGCAGATCATTACCCTAAATGACTGTTTCCCAAAGTAAAGAATAGGGTTAATAACGCTTTTAGCTCCAAAGATATGCTTTCATCGATTTAAAAAATGCCTCTGGACATAATTCAAATGTTAAAATCATAAATTTATAAACAACCTCTCAAAGTTAGCACTGATAACTAAGCACAAAATAGTTACTTTTTCTTAAAGTTTGGAGATAAGCCAGCCAGTTAATTAATTAATACCTATCGAACTTTTGTAATGTGTCTCTTAACTGGTATTTCAACATGGCTATTAACAACCTTCTAAAAAAAACTAATGCGGTCTGCACTTGCTGGCAATACAACTTTGATATAATAAGAAACAAAAAAGTGATAAGCATACGTAGCAAAAAAAAATACTTCAAATATTGAATATTTTCTATGCAGAAGGAAAAATTTTAAATAAGGACCAAAAAGCAATCTAATATTGTGTTATTTAATGTTTATCCTAGACATAATTAGAACCCTAATACTAGTATGTAGTAACTTTCCATCCTGTTTCTCCTATGAAACTAATGAATCAGACTACAATAGAGTACTTTGGCACACACTTTCTTGTTTTTCATTGCTCAGCTGAAATTGAGTTGATAGATTGTAAAGTCCTTTCCAGTTGCTGAGCAGTGCAAATCCACAGTATTTAAACTAGGGATTTTCAAGAGTTGGGGAGTTACAGAACTATTATATGGTTTTGCAACACAAGTACATAAACAAAAAATAAAAGATCTTTTAATATCACCCACCCTTTCAATTTATAGTAGGAAAACTAAGGGCTCCAGATATATAAATTCACATCAGTTAAGGAAATGAGAAAAGATAATGCCAGATAGTATTCTATTTAATATTTTCTAAGTAAACTATACCTGCACAGAGATACTGATATTATAGGGAATAAGTCTGGGATGCACAGTATACAAAAGCATCATGCTACGTTATTGTTAACATCATGTTAACGTTAGTGTTTTAACGGAGAAGTATTTATAGTAATTATCACTGTAAAACTGATCCACAGGATCATAATCTATGAAGGACAGGACTCCACAAACCAAAGCCTAATTCTCAGTTTAGGTAAAAATAATAAAGACTTAACTGAACTAACAAAATCATTATATAAAATAACTTTAATCTTAAACTCTAAAACCTGCCTCACTCACCCAATGTAGAGCTCCAAATTTTCCTTTGAAGCTACTAGTACTACCTAGGGTAGGCATTTATGGTATCAACTGTTACAAAGGACAACACCTGCAAAAGAAAAAGAATCCTACTAACAATGGGTAACAAGTAGTGGGCCAATCATGGAGTTGTCTTTTAAACTATGAATATACAGCCTCGTAGCATAAATATTTTTTAAAGAACATTTTGATCCAATGTCTCAAAAATTTCATTCTATTAACACATGCTGAGAAACAGCTACTGAATAAAGTTTTTTTCCAAGTTTACACGTATTTAAAAAATCATCTTAAAAGGCCAACTGCTATGAATAGAATATTGGTCCACATGTCAGGAAGCTTTAGTTGCTATTCTACATCTAGCAATACTTAACTATATCTTAGGTTCCTTTTCTGTTTAAAAAATATCAAACTAAACATGAATCCTAAAGACCAACCAATTCTGAAATTATAAATTAGCCTAGAATTTTCTAAAATACAGTACAATGGGATAATAAGCACAGATACTGACCAATTGGGACATAATCTTACTATGCAACATATACTATTCTTTTTTAATTCAAACTCCATTTTTTGAGGTCCTATTACATGCTAAATTCTTTATAAATATTTCACTTAATTTTAAGCCATATATAGAAGAAAACCATTATTAGTAACCTTATAGATGTGAAACCTAATACTCAGAAAAATGATATTCTCAAGTTCACATAGTATATATTTGGTAAAAATGAGGATTTAACTATAAAGTTCATGCCCTTGTCTCTAAACTTGCATGTTTGGTAAGTAAGAGACATCTGGTATTCCATGTGGACATTGCTTACTGGATTTTTTTTAATGAATTATGAGAAGGGACATTTATATATAAAGACTTGCTGAATAAATTGGTAGTTACTAATAATTTCCATTTCCTCAACTAATCATTTTTCTAGAATACTAAATAAATTATAAGATTACTATGCCTTCCTCATTCTGTAGACACGGTACAGTGCCTTAGTTATCATGGGTCACAACATAAGAAACATACATAGCATGTACTGTATTTAGAAGCCAAATACTATACTTAAAATTTCCAACTTAAATTCTACATTTCTTTAGAAAGTGCTGATGGTTTTGCTGCAATTAAAAAATAATATCAGGGGCATCTGGGTGGCTCAGCTGGTTAAGCGTCTGACTCTTGATTTCGGCTCAGGTCAGGATCTCAGGGTCCTGGGATCAGCCCTGCGTCAGGCTCTGCACTCAGCGGGGAGTCTGCTGGAAATTTTCTCCCTCTCTCTCTGCCCCTCCCCGCCACACACACAGGCCTGCGTGCTCACTCTCTCTCAAATAAATAAATGTTTAAAAAAAGATCATATAAAAAAGTATGAAAGGACAAAAAAATAGTTTTATTAGAACACACACAAAAAAGGATCATATAGATGAATGGATATATACACATATACCTATAGATGTATATATGCACATATATGTATACACACACATAAAGGTACATTGGTATATTAAGCCATAAAAAAGAATGAAATCCTGCCAC